TCACACCAACCACCGTTTACACCACACCACCGTTTACACCAACCACCAATTACACCAACCACCGTTTACACCCAAACACGGTTTGCACCAACCACCATTTACACCCAACCGCGGTTTGCACCAACCATAGTTTGCAACACACCCCACTTTACACCAACCACAGTTTACATCAAGCCAAGGATTTTTACCAATCACCGAATGCTTATAGGACAAGACTTTGCGTTTTTACCCCGCAGCTCTCCCACCTCACCCCTTCTGCCCAGGCACTGTCTATCAAACACACCTCGACAAACCCTCTTGCCACCGACCCCTTTCCTCAACACCAATATCTAGACTGTTCGAAATCTTAGCTTCCCTTCTCATTGTTTGCTCACGACACGTTGCTTCTCTGCACACATGCGGCAGCATTCAGCCGTGGAGGCCGGCGGCACACGCCGACGACGGTTAAATAGCCAACGCGATGAGGCCAGCAAGAACAGGGTAGGCGACATAACTAATCATAACTGTATTCCTTCCAGTACAAGTTAACCATTGCCACAATAGGGATGAGCCGTGTCGCACGAAAATGTTCAAGTCATTTCAAGTCACTCCGTCCATGTTTGCTTATCGACGTCGTCTTTGGCCTGTGGTCCTTTCGTCGGATCTTTTTCCTCATGATCCATGTTTTCCAACACAGGAACCTCCTGAACACGCATCCGCTGTTCACGTGCCACGATACGTTCCATGTTTTCATCGGCGTTTGCAAGCCAGTGAGCTAAAGACGTTCCATGTCTCTGCTGTCAGGGGAGATGTATGGTTTCACCCAGACGCTCAGAGTAGACATGGGACCCTCGGATTGGTTGGGTACGTAGGTGTGAGGGTCCAATGAGCCTTTGGGCAGTGTCTTAGTTCGTAGAGAACCATCCTTGAGCCGTGTCTTAGTTCCGTGTGCCTGGCAAGCATCCGCACGGCATCACCCGCCACCGGTGGCAGGTGCCTGGGGTCGGGCGGTGGGTCGGTGGGTCGGTTGCGGGGAACCCGAAGAGTCTTCCCTGTCTTCCAGGTCCGGTAGGTCGGTTGGTCAACATGTTGACTAGCCTTAACCCTACGAGTCATGAACCCAAAGACAAAGAGAAAGTTAGAGCTTCTGAGAGCAGATTGACGGAATCGTGGGTCCCCAAAGATTTGGCACACTCCCAATTCTCCCACATCTGGGAGCACCTGGAGCAATGGAATCGATTTCATCACAAAGCTGCACCGCCGCTCGCTTTGTTCGGATTTCTTAGGGCTCTGTGGAGAGCCAAGGGAATGAACAAGGCAGGTGGTGGACCAAGTCAGAGCTCCGGCGAAGACGCGGAGCTGCCTTAACCGAACGTGCGGAGGCGGTGGATCCTTGTAGGGACTCACTACTATGAACTTGTTGTAGCTCCCAGTTCCGGCTTCCAGTTTGCAGAAGAACTGGAGACCCCCAGCCGCTCCAAGAATCACGAGACACCGGCGCCGGCAGCGCTGCGCCTCCGCATCCCCTTGGCTGTGCCCAGGAAGTGCGGCTCCCCCGCGTTGCCCAGCGTCAACTGGAGGGCAGAGGCCGGGAGACGGCCGGGCCGCTCCTAAGGGAAGTTGGGGAGCTGTGGGGTGTGAGGTCCAGGGGAGATCCACTCATGCCATCTTCCGCAGAATTGATGTTTTTGCATCTGAACCAGCCAAAAAATCCAAAGGGTACCAATTCTGCATAGTTGAATCTGGCTCTTTCTGAAGCCAGGTATATCCACTCCGTCCAGAAAAAAAGAAGGGGCCAGGGTGGGTGAGAGCTTACTTCACCCCTTCGACCCTTCAGAGACTTCGTGTACCCCTGGATGGTGTTTCCCTAGGGATCCAAGTACCTTCTCAGAAGGCACCTGGACCCTCCAAACCCACTCCAAACACCTTCTGAGAAGGTACTTGGATCCCTAGGGTTTGCATACATGTCCAAAATCCGTATCAATCCTTTGATCCACGGTGCTTTTTTTATCCTTTGGGGTTCGATCATGAACTCTCGAATTGCTGGTTCTTGGCGGTTCCACCCGGAAGGCGGTTCCGGTGGTTGATCTCATCGAAATACGCGGATGGAGTGTCGAGTGCTGAGTGGCGCAAGTCTCCTCTCCTCTAGAAATACATGGTCCATCATGGTCCCGACCTTTCCAAAAACACAAATTCCTGGTATTTCCCGATCTGCCGGGGGTCGGGGCATTGCATTTCAATGTATTTATAAATTTCATATGTTCATGAACCAAACAAACATGGAACAGGGGAATCCACACATGATGCAGAAAGTGCGACGTGGCCTCAATAGCGCTTCTTGCATCACCAAGTGATCCGCCCCCGTGCTGCACGTGATTGCTGGGATACCAACTTGAGAGTTCAGTTTGATTGTTTCCTTCTGAGAATCTCCTGTTTTGCCTGAAACCCATCGGACTTCCTTCATCTCTGCCTCTGGCCACCAAGCATTCGATTGCCGTCGCGAATCTTGTGCCTGGCCCGCAAGATTCAGCCGAGCTTTTTTCGCCGGACTAGCCGTGATAGAACCCACGTACTAATTAGCCTGCTATCCAAAATGGGGTCTCACATGGTCTCACACTTGGGATTTAACATCAATCCAACACTCAGACACTCCATGCTACATTGGAGTGGTTTCATATGTGCCATACACGGAGTGTCTGGGACATGTAGTCTGATTTTCCGATCAAGTTCAGGGTGTCATTCCTGGAATCTATTCCCCAAAACACATCGGGATAGGCCTCCTGACGAGACGCGGCAAGGGACCCAAGCAACCCGATTCTTCACCGCCTTATGATGTAAAGAAAGGCAAGGGCCTTACGTGTCTAGATTGACGCATGTGCCTTTGCATGTCTTTTGATGGTCTTTGCATCGTATCCTGTTGATGTAATTACCATGAATATGCATCTCTTGCAAACATCTTCCCCCCTTTTTTTCCATTCCAGAACCCAGAACCAGAATGGATCGATGGACATAAACATCAAACAGAAAGTTGGAGCCTCGATTCAGCGAACTCAGAACATGTCAAAGCAACACCACCAGCATCCCCAACTTCTTTCAATGCCTCACTGGCTTGGAGAGGATGTGGGTGTGTTGAAGTCGTCGTTTCTTTGCAAACAGGATGTCGTATGCTGAGTTGGTGACGTCTGTCGCTCATGCTGCGGACCACTTTCCGAGCACTGCTCCCATCACGAGAGTACTTCATGATCTGGATTCTATTGTCAGCCGCTTCCAGGTTGTGTCAGGTGTTTGGACTCATGCAACAAGATCTTGTTTGAGTTGTTGACCTATGAGCCATGTCCAGAGGCTCATAGGTCACAGTATAGTCAATGTGCAAAACAGTGATCGTCTTGAGCAATCCCAAACATCCCAATGACCATGAAGAATGCTTACCCAGACAGAAGCACCCCCCAAACCACCGAGCTGGTCGATCAGTCCGAGCTGGTCGATCACGACATCACGTCGTCGCGTGGCCTTCTTGGGCTCAGCCTAAGAGATCTGAGGGGAGCGGAGATTTCCACGAAACCTTCCCTTGGATTTGCTGTCCAGGAGCTGGGAAAAAGAACCAAAAGACAGGTCCGACTCGCCCAGTCCGGGAAAATACATAATCTTAAGCATCCTTAAGCAAGAGTTCCACAACATTTTACAACCACAAACACACCTAGGAATTGGTCCGATCGACACCTTGACCATCCTGAATCAGCTGAATGTAGGAATCTTGATGATGTTCATCAAAACACAGCTGCTAAGCTGGTTGCCCTTCAGCGTGTGCAGGGCGTTCTCGGTAAACCAGTCTTGCCCGGATTATCACTCTCTCATGGGATATACCCAAAGTTAGGTTAGGGATTGAACCCCACTGACTCATCCACATGTTCAACGTGTATGACATATTCAAATCCCAAACCATGGGACTGGAACATATTCCATTAATGGACCCCTGAAGCCACCCAAATGTAGAGAAATATGCCATAGAGCGTCTGGAAATTGAAACTAACAACCAAGAGAGGTTAAGTGAACTTATAGGACCCATAAGCTGGGGCACCCTTGGGATGGTCTAAAGGCTTCTTCGACCTCTGTTCAACGCCATGCCTCATATCTGGGTCCCATAGTTTCTGCACCAGGGCCAGTTGAATCAGATCGGGGATGAAACTCACACAGCGCTGACCACGGAGCAAACCCGATCTGCCCTTGAGCACCCCAGGCATCTGAAGCTTGCCAAGGGATAGTCAAAAAGCCGAAGAAGACCTAGGCAAATGGGCATGGGCCATGCCCCACGATGTTCGCCCGACTCCACCCGTCTCACACGACACCCGGCCGGTCCCCTGGTGCGACCCCCAGCCAAATGGATTCAATTCTTCGGTTCAACGGAACACCTGGAACCAGTCTCTGCAAGGCCTCATCTCTTCGGGTCAAACGTGGATCACCCCAAATACTCCCGACCAAATGGATGACTTACACTCTCAAACGACATGTCAAGGGCGGATGGCAGGGCCCCGAAAACTTGGATGACCATGAAATCTGAATACCAAACGGACGACAATGGCTCTAGAACCATGTTTCGATCTGACTTGCAAAGAGTCACGCGTACCAAACACCAGCAGCCACATGTGAAATACCGAAAGCCATACCCACATCCCCCAGCCCTCCTAGTCGCTGTTAGTATTGGCGTTCCTGTTTCTAAGGCGGATATCATCCAAATAAGCCATCCTGAACCCTCCGTCGTAGCAGAAAAAATGACAGATAAAATAACTGCACATCATCAAGAAAAGCGTTCATACCTTGAAAAAACGTACCACTGGAAAGTCAGATGTGGCTTCATTCCACCTTATGTGGTCTTCAAGTCCATTCCCCTGCCACATGCTGGCACCCATCCCATGCACACACAACATCACACACTACGAAGCGGCAGCCAGCAACCCCTTTCTTTGATCGTCGGTATCAACATAAAATATGTAAGAACAAAACCATCCGCCACTGTTTAAACTTGAGAGGAGGGAGACACGAAAGGTAGGACAGCGGGAAGAGAAGAGAACGCGAGAGGCAGGAACAAAAATGCAATGTTCGACATGGTGATTTATCCCCTCGGAGGCGACCTTTCGTAAATATATGTTCATATGCACTCTAAATGTTCAAACATATGCTCTCGAAATGTTCAAAAAAATTCTTGGGAAAACAAACTTGCCCCATGGCTCAGATCATCGGTGAGCATTGAATCGGAACATCATAGGATTTGAACTATCCTGAAACCATAAAAGGCTCAGAATTGACGTGCTTCACAAAACAAACTCTAGGTATGTATCCCCTCGGGGAACACCTTTCGTGATTTGAATTTCATATTCACTCTTTCTGAATGTTCAAGAGGGTTTCAACTATCCTGAAATCATGAGAGGCTCACGAAGACGTTCTCCAGGAGAGAATTGATTTTAGAGGGGGGGAGGGGGGGGGGGTCTGAATTGAGCGATCAATTATTAGACCCGGACGTCCCAACACTTGCTTCGCAAGACAAACTCAAGGTATCCCCTAAAGGGCTACCTTTCGTGAATTGCGCCCGGGTTGCGGGAATTTGCGCCCAAGTTGCGGGCACCCTTTTTGGAAAATTGTTGTAAAGCACGCCCAGAAGGTTAGAACCAAACCTTTGTGGTTTCATTTGCGCATACTAGGAGAGGTCATATAGGATTTCCACCCGGTCCATAGGGCCCCCAAAGGCCCACAAGGGTTGATAAGGACACTGGTCAGGAACCAGTAGGCTTTAGAATTTACATCACCGAAAAGCGCTCATATGTCCTGAAAAGTGTACATACCCTCAATTATAACGCTCAACCTTCCAATAAGTGCTCCAAGCCATGGTTCGCCAGAAATAAGTGCTACAAAGGATGCTTCAGGATCAACAATAATCCCGAGTACCAATTTAAAACAGACACCAATAGTCATGTCGGACCCCCCTAAATATGGTGTATATTTGTGTTAAAAAGCCGCCCTTTCAAGCCGCTGATTTTGGAGCAGTTTTTCTATTAGGTTCCAAAAGCATACGTAACTGCCCACCTCTGTCCCCCTGCCCTGTCTATCCACCATGACACACCGCGCGTACACCAGCAGGCGTTCCTTCCCCCAATGGCACGGACTCACGCAAACGCACTTGCCACCGAGGTCACGCAAAACCGCATGGCACAGCGACATCACCTTGAAGAATCACTATTCTAATAAAGGTTTTTGTAGGGGAAAGGGAAAGACCCTTCGATCTTAACGTTAGTTGAATTATTGATATGAGTTCAGGATTTTATATAAAGTTTTCGAGAAGGGACTGTTGTGGGTTGCATAAATCAGGGTTCTGAAGATTAATCTAGATTAATCCTCTTACATAGTTGATGCAGGGCACGGTTAAAAAACAAATTTCAGGAAGTCAGCTTGCTTGCGCTCCCCTTTTAGCATCAGGTCAGCAACACATTCAAAGGGCCAATGCTTCCTTCAAGGGCTTGTCGATGTAGTTGAAATTGGCGAAAGAATATGAAAGGCAATATGAAGAGTTTGAAGTAATACATAACACAGAACTATTTAAACAAATGCTTAAGAGATTGGTTAAGGAACATCGAGAACTAATAACACAAATCCAAACATTGAAGACTATACAACTGCCATCAAGATTATTGACATCAGTGATGTGACAAATTAGAAGGGAACTTAATGATGTATATTGTGAGTTCAAGAGAGCAAATGTATGAACCCAAAATCATAATGGGAGCTGGTGGCAACATTTCATCAATCAAACTCAAGTTCAACCATCTGACTTTGAACATCAGAAGTTAGAGTTTGATAAACTGTGCTGTAGATACTTGTATTGAACGTAGTGATGCTGATACATTCAAAAGCGTGAATGAAGCAATGTTTAACTTCAACAAGGGGATGTTCAATCCCAATCACAAGTCCTACTATCACAAAGATGATATGAACATCTTTTCAGTAGCACACACCATAGCACCAAGTGGATATGTTGAACCCATAGGTGGGGTCTGAAATAAACACATTGAAATAAATATGACCAAGGAGGCATACACAAGGGACAATTGACACTGTCAGGATACCGTGTTTTTTTTCCTGAATTTGATATTTGGAAGAAGTATGACTATCAAACATATGTGTTCAGCAAGATGTACTCTTTCACATTGTATTTAGCAAAAAGGTCAATAGCCTTTTCTAATATGGTTGTTGCCATTTACTATCAAGAGATATATGGTGGTGACATAAATGTAATCACTGAATATATGAAGGAGGGTGAGGAGAGAATTGTGATTAGTGATGATGATTGCTTAATTGAGAGAGATGAAAAAGGCAATGAAAACGAGATAGATGCGGCGCAAAAAGAAGTTGTTTTCAAAAAAGAAATGAATGTGAATAAGCATTATGTTTTTTAGCATAAGTGACACCAAAAGTCTAAAGAATGGGTATAGGTTTATCAAAGAGATGATGTTACAAAACCATAACCATAGTATGAATGTTGCCTATGAGAAACTGAAGCAGCATGAAATACAGGTGTGCTCAGTAAAGACGGATGTACTTGTGATTGATAAGTGTAATTTAGATAAGGCACAGAGTCTTTTAAAGTTTGGCAATGGTATTGGTGAATGGAAGTTCTGTAATAGGTTCAGGTCTCCATCACAACCTTTTGATAGAAAACCAAGCTTCTTAGAAAACATAACAGAGTATTCAAATGAAACCGGCGGTGTGAAAGATGACTGGAACAATGATGAGATTATCAATGAACACATCTTGCCAACAAAAAGACTAATGGTTAGGGATGATGTTGCAGGAACAGGCAAGTCATGTATATGTAAACACCTACAGGAGAGAAAATACAAAGTTGTGTTTGTAGTGCCCACCAATAATTTGAAACAAGAATGCGGCGCAGAAGCAGTAACCATCAACAAGTTTTTTGGCAGATCTTATGGTGATGAGAAGCTCAATAACCTATTTCCATAATGTAGGCAAATGGGCTTTGATTTGGGACTTTGGTTGGATTTGAACAATCCTGACAAGATTGTAGTATCACCAGTTGAAAAATCCTGAGAGTGCAAGTAATGTATTTGAGTTTGAAGCCTATGCTAATCACAGTACAGACTTGATGTTCAATAATAACATTAGGCTGTGTGAATGTAAGAGGCAACGAAACAGAGAGCAAGGAAAGCAAACAGGAGCTACAAGCCAAATCCTGCAGATGAGCAGCAAATGAAGGTTTGAGTGTATGACATTGTTGTGGAGCAGACATGTAGGATTCATTAAGGAAGATTACTTCAGATTACTCTGGGTTAATCCTGGGAACCAAACAAAACAAAAAACACAGATTTCAGAACTATGTTGAAGATTGGACTAGTCTGGAAATGATTGTTTTTTGTGTTTTGTTTCTGTTTAATGTCTTATGTTCAGATGATGGCAAGGAGCATGGCAAACAAGATTGGTTGCGGGTTGCGAATTACACTTGAAAAGACTTACGCAAGTCAATGAAGGGGCCCAAAATCCGCACCCCGCAACTGTCCTTTGTGAAATTTTTGTGGGTGACCGAGGTTTCCTTATTTGGGGGGGAACCCGTGTTTTCTTAATGGGTGCACAGGATTAACGACGAGTCATTGACAATCGTTAATAAGCAATAAGTACTACTGACCACCAAGAAACGATGACTACTGATCATTCACCAGCCCTTGAACGATAAACCATTGGAGCCATTGGTGGTTGTCACCTAATCCTTTCACAATCATAAGGAGTCATCGCTAAAAACTCATGGATCCAGCCATCTAACCTTCCACACTGTCTCCAAACAGCATGGCCAAACACTCGGTGCAGCCCGAGCACCACCAGCGCTGCGGGCGCCAGCGCGGCCAGCATCGGACCACCAAAGCCTGCAGAAGCCGCGGCCTGAGTGACAGGCCGGACCCGACTGGTCGGATGTGAAAAAGAGGTCCAGATCGCCGAGGATGTCGACGAGGTGAGGAATGGGGTGTCCAAAAACTACCGGACTTGGATGCAAATGGTAAATGCAGCTGGCATGGCAAATGCTTTCTGACACAGGATTACTCTTCTTGGCAAGCAATGACATGAAGTTGTTTGGTTCAATGTCAAAAAAAAAAAAACAATTCTCCTATATACTTCAATTATTCACGTTGAGTTTTTCTGGAAGTGAGCACAAACATATCAAACACGGCACCTGATTCCGCAATCTCAATCTCTGCTGCACCACACCCCGACCAGACCCTCCGACCCCTCTGAGTGCCGCAGCCCAGGCAATCGGACTTCCCAAGAGCAAGACGAGCAACTGGGCCGTGTCCTCGCTGAGGCCCTCCTGCGACCAAAGACCGCACCCAAAGGCTGCGCCGGTTCCGCACTGCGGTGGTTTCTGCTCAGTACGAACATGTTGGTCATCAATCATCGAACATGCGGCTAGCCTTAAACGTATCTGAGGCCACGAAGAAGATCTGTTTGGTTGAACATGCCAACAAAAATACCTGAGACATTCTGAGACCACCGCCCCAAGAGTCTGTGCAATTTTTAGGGCCCAGTGGCCTGGCCGCCACGAGAGGGGTCCATATGAGAGGGAGGGTCAACAGGGGATCCGTGGTGAGTTTAAGCCCCCTTTAATCCCAAACACGGCCATATTTGCCTATCAGTTGGAGTCGTTGGTGTGGTTAGCGGTTAGCATACACGGTATGTTTAGGAATGCATTGGACCAACGAAAACTTGTCATTGATGGACAGCACTACCTGCACCAAACTAACATCTACACCCAGCTGTCCTTGAGGAATTCTTCAAACTTTTGGGAGCCATTGAAGGACCAAAAGGGCATTGAACATCGGAGTCGTCGAAGAACGTGACATTGGCACATTTTGGGACCATGATGAGCCAGGAGTGCTGCGCCAGTGCTGCGCGTTTGCGCATGTCATCGACCCAACGAGGATCTAAATGCAATTCTTCTTCTATAGGTTCCCCTACTAAAGCTAACAGTGGCGAGTAGAAGTCGACAAAGCCAGTGAAGTGAGTGTGGATTCCAATGGGTTTGGTCTATGTATTTTCCTCTACAAACTCGTGGTTTTCGAAGACCGCTGAAATCTGGTCTTCGTGGATGGCACGGTGTACCTGTGTCACCCGTGCTTTGCAAAGAAGCAGGGATACATCAGCATGGCGAGCCAGTGAACCAAGCGTTCATGGGGTGGGTTGCATAACTTCACAACGGCAGCAAGAGCGCTCAGAGCCGCCGACCTTTCTTTAGCAACCGCCCGCCGACCTACCCCTATCGGAGGCACTGGAAACGCGCAGGCCACTGAGGAGAGCGTGGATTAGAAGCGCTGCAAGATGGATCAACATAGAATCAACATAGCTCCAAGATGGCTCCAAGATCGATATGTTGATGACTGCACGGTCGTTTTTCAGGTCCCGTGGTGCGAGATATGCTGCCCGAGTGGCCTTGCATTATGAGCATAGAGAGAGAGAGAGCGAAAGAGCCCAGCCCCCGTCTCACGCAGGGATGGTTGTTATCTTAGACCTCTACCGAGCCCTGCTTACGCCGCCTGCACCCTACAAGGCCTGCACCTGACGCCTGCACCCGCCCTGCTTGTCACATGTTGTCCTCGATTTATCGTCGATGGAATCTGTGAGGAGTTGAGGAGCTCATGTCCAATCTGCAGGTTTGCATCCCTTGGAACCGTCTCAGCAACTTCGTCTTTCTGCGTCAGCTGCTTCCGGAAAGAGCAGCGATGATGTGTTATACATCAAGTGTAAAACCCTATCTACTGGATTCAAAAAAACATGCCATGAAGTACATAAGGACACATGGAAGAGATGGCCATTCTCCAAGGGTGATTAAGATCGGATCGAGATCACCCGCTGATCCGAAGACGTCCTTTGGTAGAGTGATCGTGGGCGCCCAAAACCACAAGCTGGCAGCCAAACAGCAGCAAAGACCTTGGCTGCTGTTTAGCTTGAGATTTTCCCTGGTTCACTGCAACCTCCATGATAGAAGTCCAACATGTGAGTTCAACATATCTTCATGATAGGAGATTCACTATATACGAATATAACTAATATAGTCAATGATTAATATATATATATATACACCTCAACCTTACAATCACAGTGGATGACAATGAACAAAGTAGGAACGACAAAGGCCGCCCATGGGTAACCTTTTGGAGTCTTCCTATGCGAACCTGCAAGTGGATTCTAAGCGACCAGGGATCAGCCACCACATGCCATGTGTTCATACGGTACCAGTTGGGTCCGCGCCCCGCCGGTTGTCGTCGGGACTTGTTGATGTACAAAGTCTGCCGTTCCCACGAGGTTCATGGGAACATTGCCTGAAGAATGCGCCATAAAGATCCATTAAGTGGATAAACAAAGAACCATACAAATACAACACTATATGGAACTTACTTCACTCTGGACAACTTCAGTGTTTAGGTCCCATGGTAACCAATACCGCCAAGCACCCAGCTCGAATTCCTGAACTGTCAATCTCTTCTCAAAAGCTCAGCTTGCCACACTTGACCAACCATGGACCCCGAGTTGGCTTTTCTGGGATCGATTGGACCGTCGTGGATGGTTTCAGTGCTAACTGAGAAGCGCATGATCCGTACATGCTGATTTCGGTGCAGGTCCCCCCAGGGATCTGCTATAGAGCAAAGGGTCCGGCAGCAAGACGTCTTGGGAGGGTCGGCCCGCCCACTTCTCCATGTCACATCGAACACAACACCATCATTTGTGTTTCCTAGAGTCGATCATGAACAACTAAAGAATTTGTCCATGTTTCTCCGGATCAATGCCTTCCGTCCCTGCACACACGCAAACACCCGCAAACACCGCGGTTCCCAGAAACGCGCAACGAACGCAGCAGAACGCATCCGCCAAGGCCACTGATGAGCTGCGCTTGTGACCAATTGGGCCACTCCCAAGTTGCAACACCTGTGGATGGAACAAAGTGTGAGCAGCACACGCTTCCGACCCCATACGTTGTTTAGCTAAGAACATTCCCACAAACTAAACAGATGCAATGCCTCCAAGGTCGCTTTGTCCAAACGTTGAAGTTGCTGATTTTGATATGGCTATGAGTCAAAACACCCCTTATAAAGGAGTCTGTTCATTTTCAGGTGTCAACCAGGCTGACCCCGGTTTTCACATGTTTTGACAGCCTACATGGGCTTTTGCGACCAGCTCTTTTAGGTTCAAAACCCTCTGCTATTGGTGTGACAATGGCGGACCAAGGGCATGCCCTGGAGAACAACAGGCATCGTTGGTCATGTTTCGTAGGCGTTTTTTTCAAGCATGATTAACATCGGGAGACCTTCCAAAGCATGATTAACCTCTGGAAGAAGATCGGTCAATCTGGCAGGTCGACCATCCTTGATCAGTTCGATGTAGCTTTTGGTCATCAACTCTCCTCGAAACCGCGCGCAGAACCGCCACACGGCACGCGAAGAAGCGCGCCTGCCAATAGGCCGGAGGCCTCCAAGAGGAACAAGACCTGAGCAGCGCCGGAGTCAAATCCCCAACACTCCATCTGACTGGAATATATGCCACTAATGGACCCCTGAAGCCACCCAAATGAAGAGACATATGCTGGTTTTGAGATGTTTTGAGTGTCTGGGAATTGAAACTAACAACCAAGAGAGGTTAAGTGAACTTAATGGCACCTAGAGGGATTGTTTGGTTGCGGCTTCTGAAAAGAATCCGGAAGCACTGGCCTTTTGTGCGAACACGTCACGTCTTATGAAAATCATCCCGCGCAAGGACGATACATCTTCTGGGGAAGATCTTAAGATACATATCCTAGAGCTCCAGTCGTACCTCCTCAGAAGGTATTTGGACCCTCTAAACCCACCCCAAACACCTTCTTAGAAGGTACTTGGAGCCCTAGGGATAGCTATTTGCATCTATTTGCTACTAGGACCGATGGCCTCCAACCTAATAGCGATGGCCTCTACCGAGTGTCGCGTCCGCACAGTGAGGAAAAGCAGTCAGTCACTTGTAAAAAAAAATCACCTGAAACACATCCGTCCTAATGATGTTTTTTCTTAGGATTGCAAGCAAGCAACCATCTTGCGGGGTCCCATGTCACACCATCCCTCAACTATAGACTATGACCCAAAAGAACCAACCCAAAACGGACTGATGTGCGCTAGAACCTTAGTTCCAGGGATCTGTTTATTGGACTGTACACGCCCAAAATGCGCAAATGTCTTGTTTAAAGGGTCTCACAAAACCTTAGCCAATAGCGGACATCACCTTAAGCTTAAGGACCTGGAAAACCAAAAAAAGTTTTGCCCCCAGGTATATAACGAGTATGTTTGGGCAAGCGGAAGGAGGGCGATCGGAATCAGTGCATGCCATGTGTCTCAATCTATTTCTCCTCATTCCCTCCCAAGACGATCCATAAGAGTTTATGAGACTGGCATATTTCGCACATGAATTTATTGGTATTATGGTGTAATTACGGTATACGTCTATAAGCGCAGGTCGTTGGAGCCCTACTACATACCATATCAGTGTTTGCTTCCATGCTTTTCGTATTTCCCCCAGGCTCCTCCTCCGCTTCGCGGCTACGGCGGGCGTTTAGTCGGTCGTCGTTTGCTTCGCGGGGTTGTCTGAGCGCCCCGGGCGAAGAAACAGAGGATCCTCGTCCGCGGATGTCGGGAAGATCGGTGAAACCCATGAGTTTTGAACTGAACTGCATCCCAATTCCCATAGTTTTGAGAGGGGAACTCAAGCTTCGAATATTTTTTCTGAACTTCCACTTGCGGCGGTATATTCATGAACCATTCAAGTCAAAAGCACCCTATTCGCAGGAAAAACATAAAATAAACTGCCACAAACTGGGAAAGTGTCCGCATCTTCCCATAATGTAGGCTGTTGATTAATGAAGCACAGAAAACACCTATGTAAAGCCCTTCTCGGAAAGGGATTTGATTCATTAAGCAGCCCACAGCACTATAGCCACCAACGCCATCTGTGTTCTGTCCCTTTCAATGCTATGCACGCACGAACCATGCTCCACGGGCAGCTAAACTGCCAAGGCGCGCAGTGCAGCTCCAACGGCAGCAGCGGCGTCGACGCTTAGCTTCGGTGCGACCTAAAGTAAGTTCAGTGAGTTCAGTGAGATCAGCGAGTTTGCTTCCTTAACAGTTCAGTTTTACACTGGCAGTCTGGGGTAGTTGGCAGTGGGGGCAGCTGACAGCCACGACTTCACTTACACTTGCCATGCAAGCATATATATTTGTATATGCAAGCCATAATTCATGCTCCTGGTGGTGCCAGTCTGAAGCACGTATCCTGCAAGCCACGTATCCAGCACGTCCTACCGATCAGTTTGAGGCAATCTCCCGGCTCCGGAGACACTCCGCCAGTGACTTAAAGTTTAAGATGTTTAAGGCATCCGAGCCCTTGAAGAAAAAACCAACGTTTGCAGGTGATCCACCTGGACCCTCCAGTTCGTACCGAAACTGGAACATGACTTGTACCATCTTAGACCCATGTTCGGTACGAACGGGCCGACTCCTACGAGCGCCTCGGTGTCACCCCAAACCTCGCCCTGCTGCTCCGCTGCTCTCGGCTCGGCTCCGAACGTTTCCGGGCCTCCTCCACCGCCGAGAGCTTGGGATCCCTGGAGGGATCCGCCCGAAAACGGCTCGTCGGCGGTCCTCCGGAAGAAACCAACGAGACGAACGAGAAGTCTCCCAGACACGACATCCACGGGACTGGCATAGTATGCCGCCCCCAGAAAGACTCCCTTTTCAACCACCCCTGGCCTTTTCTCGGCAAATATTGGCATAATTACATGGAGCGTGGATATAGAATGGATCAGTTCAACGTGGTGATCCAGGAGTTTCAGGATGCATGCTGCATGCATGTCAGTTGAAGGATCCAATTCAGTGTTGAAGTGGAAGACGTCTTGCCATCCGAACGACCACCTGCATCCAAACGGTTCGACCCACCACGCTGGACATCTGGACGAACGGTTCGACCCAAACGCTACTCACCACGAACAATGGGTTCAGTGGAGTTCAGTCCCGCCCTGAGGTGGTCGGACAGCATCAGATCATTGGAAGGAGCGGTGCCATCCACCAATTGGCCGATGTTTGTGACGAGAGTGTGCGACCTGCACTGCGGTCTTAGACCGAAAGCGAAAGAAAGAAAAAGAGTGTGCAAAGGAAAAAAGGTCGAACATCAAATCAATGAACAGAACGCTTCGTTGGTGTTAATTTTTACCAACGTCATCCAGCTCAGCTTTCGACCGAGCCAGTCCGACCGAATTCTATCCGGCTCGGGTCTGAGTCACTCCGAAGGGAAACCGCCAGTACCGAGCGAGAGCGATCTGTTGGGGGTCGGAAGCATCGGCGCGACGGCGGTTGTGGCCCGGTTCCAGGCTCGTCTCCGTGCTGCGACGGGTGTGGGCTACGCGACCGAGAAGGACCGCGCCCGATGCATGGGTCAATTCGGCTGGGTGACTCGGTGCGGCGCCCGACGGAGAAGTGCACACAATGCACTCTGCTTGCTTGAGCCGCAGAGTGGGGGGAGTGCGTGTGAGCAGTTGCAGCCCTTAAGAGCCGGTTGCCCCGGTGCGTGCCCCCATGCCTGGTGGCTGTGCTCGTGGCTATCCAGTTTGGGTGGGGTGTGTGGCCATAGACAGATGTTTCGTAACAGGAATTATGAAGAACGACCTCTGAACTGAATCGCAATGAACGAGAGTGAGACGATGTTAGGTATCCCAAGATAACCTGAAAACGTGGAACACCCCCTCCCTAAAAAACGGGTGACTCCGAGGCCCCAAAGAACTCGATCCCGGAATCACTTGTTCCTGATCCTAGGTCGAGCTAGGTTGCCAAACAACGCGCCCTGCTGTGGTCTCGACAAAAACACCAGCGCGACCGGCGTGCCTGAAGAAACAATCCCCCACGAAGGACAAGCCTCTCCGCAGCCGGCAGAGAAGAAGGCACAAGTTTTAATCATGCAAACTTGGCACGATGTGCAAGCAAACACCTGTCTACAACAAACATGATATACCTGATTAATCCTGATAGTATACAATTTGCGCATGTTTCATCAAGTTTCTACTTTTGATTGTGAGCATACAGTGAGTGGTTCATCAATTCAGGCCAATACATGCTCCAAAAAGGTCAACCCATGTCAACCCTTCCATATGTTGCAGCAAATAGACATCCTAAAACCCTTCAAACGCTTTATATAACCAAGCCCATCCAAGCCCACCTACTTAAAGGAAATTCAGGACCTGAATTAGGTGAAAGTCCAAGTCATCTTCCGCGGTCTTTGGACAATTCCTTCCACTAAACCTTTTGACCATCTGAGTTGAAGTGCATGGCGTGTAAACACGCTCTTAGAAAAAAAGAAACGCCCAGCAGGCCCCAGGCGGTCTCACACCCCACCGCGGCCGCGGCCGCGTCCTCGAGACTCCAAGAGCTTCTGCGCATTGACCTCGTCGCCTCCCAGCACAATCAGGTCTCGCAGGTCCTGCGGCCTGGCGCGGAACAGGCGCCAAGGACCTCGTGGACCTCGTCAGGTGGGTGGGTGAAGATCCATCGCGTTCAGTGGTTGGGGGGTGACACACCGGGAGGTTGGGTCCGTGAAAACGCAGACGCAGGTATAGGTGTGTGGGTTGCGAAAGGTCTCCTGGTGACCCACAACCGGTCGGTTTTGAGGAAGACTCAGTACCTTTGAGGACTCAAAACATGCCGTTAGGACTCTGAACCAAAGATTCAGCCTTCGTTTTTGAATCATGTTGATCTAAGCTGAACAGCTGTAAGGGGTGACTCAACAAAAATTTACATGCTGATGTTCAGCGATAGATTTTCATGTTTGGTGTCATGCTCAACTGGTTTGAACATCATTGCACATCGACTTGGGGGTTGACCGAGTCCCTGTCTGCAAATATAGGGCCAAGGTTTCCAATTAAGTTTCTCAATGAGTCCCAAAATGCATAGCAACCAAAATAAAGATTCCAATATCCCTACAGATCCAGTCCGACCCAGCAAAACATGGTTCTGAAAACCTCATGTTTGATGTGTTTTTGTATGATCAAGCCAGTAAAACATGTAAAACATGTGGTGCTCATGGCCCGTAGATGCAAACAGGTTCGTGATTGGTTCACCAGGGATGTTTCCAGAACATTAATGCGCTAGGAGCTTTAAAGTGACCTCTTGAGAGTCAGTTGTGACCCCTTCAGAGACTATACCAGGGTAGTATAGTCCCATCATAACTGACAATGAACTCTTGGAATTGGCGGATCATGACAGCCAGGTGGGGTCGGCAGTTCTAGCATATAAGTGAAGCGCATCCTTGGACCTCAAAATCTGGATGGTCACCAACTGAAGCTCCAGGTGGTCTTCCGAGCGGAGCGAACTTTGTAAGAACTTCTGACAACTGCACATGCATTCAACTGAAAAAAAAAAGCCTTCCTCTGACTCTGAGCCAAGAGATGCCAAGAGTTCAAAACCTTCACGACATCAAGCTGCGACCAGGACCCTCCTCTTGGCTGTGATTCGGGGTGTCCATGAACCACCCAACTCCTGGGGGTCCTGCTATGTTCTCTATCGATTACCGAACCTAAAGAAGTGCTAGATTACCCAGCGCGCAGAGTCCTATAAAGTGCAAAGCCTGCACGTCAACAAAATTATCATAAATGTTCATACATGGACCCACTTGATGTCTCTGCCGCGAACGCACCACCCCCCCCGTTTCTGGTACCTGCTGACGCTCAGCAGCCGCTCAGCCGCCAAGCTGGTGAGCCGATCGGCGCGAACGAAGAGCAACTCCTCCAGGAACCTGGCGACGACGAGCGGAGCCGAGCCGCTGGACGTGCCCCTGGTGGTTTTCTATGGGATGTGGCGCCAGTTGGTGGATGCTTCGGTTGAACCTCCACCGGTTTTTCTGCTGGGCCAGACCCGTGTTTTCCGAGCGTGGATGGTGGAGGGGGCTGTTGCCGGTTTCTGTGGTGGAGGTCGGTGCGCAACGCAGCCCAGCTTGGCCCATCCGAGAAAAGGCCAGGGGTGGTTGATTTCAGGGGTCAATGTACCAGGACCCTCCTGTCGGGGTGCCCTGTCTGGAAGCCTATAGGTATAGTGGGGTAGTCCATTGGACACCCCGACAGAAAAATTTCCAGGTATAGGCATATATATTCTAGTCCCATGAGTTGTGTCTGGGATATGTACCACGCTGGGAACGATCCTCGCGTTCAGTTCTCTCAATCTCGATCGGATCGAGCCCCGACCGCGCAATAGAAACACCCACGTAACTGCCGGGGTCAAACGGGTGGACATCATCAGTGAGCTCGGATGTTTTTGGGGTTGCTGAGGTTTTCTTCTCTTTCCCCTGGGTGATTGACTCTAGGGATCCAGTCGTACCGAACCTCAGGTACGGCACTTGGACCGTGCTGGCACCCACCCCAGTCCCACCTTCTGAGAAGGTACTTGGATCCCTAGGGGTGTAGGGTGAGTGATGGTGAGGAATGGTTGCATGATGTTGAATGGACATGTGCGTTAAGAGGATCTTCCTTCCAGTTAAGATACGTGTCGTGTTCGGGATCGGGGAGACACCGCATTTTTTGTAGCTGGGCTGAATCGCGGCTCATCCCAGTGGGCACGGTTGGGTGCAACAAACATGAACTATCATGTCAAGCAGGTGTTGTAACCACGGCGTATCCGGCGCATCCGCATACACAGGTTACATGCTGTACTTACTATATAATATGTATATATATATATATACATATTATATATGTATATATATATATTAATAATTGATTATTACTATTGTTATTGTATATATATATATATATCACCAATACTTGAAAAACAAGATGCACAGCCA